GACGAGCTTGAAGGTACACTTGATTCAGAGTTGACATCAGACTTGCTATCTGCCTTGCCCTCGGTACTCTTGCTAGAGCGCAGTTTTTTGAATATGGATGACTTGTCCTTGTCCCAGAGCTTCTGGAACTTGGACCTGACCTTTGGGGATGTGGCTTCAGCTTCACCAGCTCCTGCCACATTGTCTGCAGAGGCTGAGGGGGGTTCTATCCTACCAGCTGGCTGGAGATCTCTTAGGATGTTGAAAAGGGTTTCTGGGGGAGCAGCAGCCACATTGATGGAGCCATGGGAGCCGTACTCCCTGCGCAGGGGGGACGCAGGAGGTTGCTCTTCTGCATCATGGTCCAGCTCCAGTGAGGAGTTGCTGCGATACAGACCACCTGTACCTCGCATGTACACAAAACCTCCCCCAACCTCCTGACCTGGGCGCCCACTGCCTCCTCCCCTTCCAGGGGGCTGCAGGCTTGTGGGGCCCGAGCGCAGTCTCTCATTGTAAGACGCACGGAGGTCTGGAGGTCCAAACCTGTGCGAAGAGCTTGTCTTTGGCCGGTTGCTGACACTAAGTGCTCTCACTCTCTCACTCACAAAACCCATTGTCCCTTGCTCACGGTTTTTGGCATCAGTGCTTTTCTTGCGCGCATTCCCCCTATCACTAACATTACTGTTATTATTGTTATTATTATTGCTATTAGTGATTCCACCGTTCACTAATCCATTCACCTCCACATTGTTGTTGATCACATTTGTCGTCTGTGAAGTCAGGGCCGAGTTGGCCTTGCTGCCCTTTCTGTCTCTTGGTCGCATGTACTCGGCACTCTGGTCCTGAGTGGGAAGCGGGCCTCCCCTCAGGGTCTGCGGAGGCCCAACAGAGCCCCGGCCAACACAAGCGGCTGGACCCACGCTCATGACCTGCACTTTCTCCATCACGGAATGCCGAACCACTTCCCTAACTCTCTTCCTCGGTGCATCTTGTTCCACTGACTACGCATCCTCTCGAACTACATTCTGGGATGCTACTGGAAAAACTTCTTTAACGGACACACATTTTTGGCACACACCTCCGTCGTCACTGAGCTGCCACATGGCGCTCTCTCCGACAACACTGAATTTCACTCGCCATCTCTACCCAAAAGCTGCTCTAAGGACACCTCTTGACACATAATGAATGGAAGACTATGCAAAGGGGTTTTCTAAAGTATCTGATACTTTATTTTTTTTTTTTTCACTGCAGCACAAATGCAATTCAACTCCTTATGGCATAACTAAGACACATCTTTGCTTTTTCCTTCTCATTGTTCACAATCTCGATTATTTTATGTCCTGTATTCTCTAAGTTCTGATCAGCTGAAATGATAAGTAAAAGATGAATATATTGTAAATTTAATGTAACAGATTGAGAATATGACATACATGTAAAAACACAAAATAATATTGAAAAATTATCAGCAATATGGTCAATATGAACCATAATAAAAATAGTTACTACTATAACAACAGGCCTAATCTAAATAATGATAATAATAACAATAATAATAAAGTATGGACAATAATAATAACTGATCATAATAATAATGAAACAATAATCATCAAATTAAAAAAAAGTTCATAATAATAATAATAATAATAATAATAATAATAATAATAACAATAATAAAAATGAAAACAATAACAACTACAACAAAAAATAGAAATAACAATGACACAAACATTAATAATATCAATAATAATAACAACAATATTAATGACAATAATTATAATAACAAAATGATAAAAAAGCTCATAATAATAACAATAATAGTAGTGATGATACTAATTATGATAATAATAAAGTTAATGGAAACAATCATCAATATGATGATGACAACAATATAACGATAATATAATCATTATCACAAAAAATAATTAGCACATCATAATAATATGAATGATAATAATGATATAAAATAATGATATATAAATATATAAATAATATAAATAATAAAAATAAAAATAATAATATAAATAGCAAGAACAACACAAACACCCATTACTATTATTATTAACAAAAACCTACATAATAATATCACTATAACAATAACAATAATAATGATAATAATAATAAAAAAACTAATAAAACTAATAAAATAGTAATTATTGTCATTACTATAACTTTAATAACAAAAAAATAATAATGACAACAATAATGATGATAATAATAACAATCATGCTGCTGCTAACAATATAATATAATCATCATCATCTATAATTATAATAATAATAGCAACAATTATGAAGATGATAAAAAATACATATAATCATAATAATACTAGCAATAATGATGATGACCATAATAATAATAATAAAAAAATAATAATAATAATAATAATAACAACAACAATTATAATAGTAATAATAACAATAATGACAAATAAAATACTATAATTAATGATGATGATAAAAATATTAACAATTATAATAAACAATGATGGTAATACTGTTAATGACAAAGACAATGATAAAAA